TTGTAAACTTTTATTACAAATTAAAAATGAAGTTCTTAAAAATCTCAACTTGACCAGATATGAAACAATTTAAAAACCTTTAAAGGCGTATTGAGAAAAACCAGGCTTTTTTAAAAAACAGGTTTGTTATTACCAAAAAGAGACATCTTTAGGTAAAAATAATAAAAACCCCATGCTGCATAGATAATGCAGATAGTTCTATTTATCTGGTCAACGGGCAAAAGCAAGCACTTAAGGTCTTCAGCTCCAATCTTTTGTTCATTTCTTATTGCTGGAATTTCTTATTTCTTCTTGTTGGATGACTAAACCGGATGATGGTAGAGATGGTAAGCCGGCATTTACTCAGCCCCGCCCTGCTCAGCCTCGGGAGCGGACGAATTCTCAGCTGGTGGATCGGCTGCTTTTGTCTCTTTGCCATCTTGTGGTTTAGGGTTTCCTGGGCGTCTGCGTCGGTAATTGAAGTTGCGGCGGTACCGACGTTGAGGTGGCTGCTGACCTTGGGTCTCATCTCCTTGATTTTCTTTATCTTCTTCATTGCTGTCCTCTCTAGGCTCTCTTTGGCGAGGAGGGCCCCTGCGGAATCGTGGTCTATATCCCCGATACATATTCTGCCTCACTGGTCTACCTTGTTCTCCTGCACCCTGGTTGTCAGCACCCTCCATCACTTCTCCCTGCACAGGAGGGTTGGAATATTGTGGTCGATGCCCATAGGGTCTCCGCATGTAGTAAGGTGGGAACCTTCGCCTGCGGTAGGGCCGGCATTGTTGGGCCTGGCCTTCGGGAGCACTCTCTGATCCCTCGTTCTTTTCCCCACTCTCACTATTCTGGTAATTTTGCTGGTAATTGCTTGGAGGACCCCTACGACGTGGATAGCGTCTATAATGGTTACGGTCTGCTGCGTATTTACTGCCTTGAACTGGAATGCCACCAGGACCTGTAACATTTGCTGCCTCCGCACCCTTTTCTCCTTCAACAACATCAAACTCCACAGTCTCTCCATCTCCTACACTGCGAAGGTACTTCCTGGGGTTATTCTTCTTTATGGCAGTCTGGTGTACAAATACATCTTCCTTGGTGTCATTCCTGTTGATGAAACCATATCCGTTCCTTACATTGAACCATTTTACTGTTCCCAAAACCTTCGTTGCGATGATCTTCTTGTCCCCGCCGGCAGGCGCCGCTGATGTGAGGCCGCCCGGGCCACCGCTCCCTGCGCCGCTGCCGGTAGTGCCGGGCTTGGTGTCGGCGGCGCTGAGGGCGGGGGCGGCGGGGGGGACGGCCGGCGGCTGCTGGGTCTCGGCCTCGCTGCTCATGGTTGCGGTGATGGTGACTGGGGCTGGCTGCGGCAGCTACGGCTCCTCCCGGGATGTGATGGTAACTAGGCCGGCGGCGGCGGTGGGGCTGCTCAGGGCTCTCTGGGGTCCGCTCTCCGCTCCCGCTACCGATCGAACTCGCATAAACCCTTAAATCTCCCAGATGGAGAGAGATGGGAGTGGGGCATGGCACTGGGAAATTCTTGCCCTTAAAACTATGCCCCCTCGTGGACCTGGAAAGAGAGCACCTTCCCTCATTATGGCTGGTTCTTCTTAGCTGTTGTTTAGGCCAGTGGCCTGTGTTGATTTTGCTTAGTTACATTACACAGATGGTTTGGTTTTGTCCTAGAGGGGAGCAGTGATGCTTTCTTTGTGGTGTTGTGCCCTCCTCCTTTTGAGCAAAAAAGTTTTATAGCATGTAATTCTGATCTTTCACTTCTCAGAGTAATTGCAGAGCAATAATTAGGCACTTCCTCTCTGCAGCCTAGAACGTCATACATTTTTTAACTTAAGGTAGAGACATATATTTTATCTATATGATACCGAGATCTCAATACATTGTGGTGCTCTAGCAAGGTTTGCTGGTTATCTGGGTTATGTTCTATTTCTTTGGATTTTTTCCTAGTTGTTAGAATTTTTCAGTGTAAGCTACCATAAATTATGAATTTAATTACTTGCCTGATAACCTTCTGATAAATGATTATAACAAAAGTTTCGGGCTGAAGAATGAAAGTTTGATAGAGTTTTTTGTAATTAGGTTGTTATTGGCTTACATATTTTATACATCATTACATATAAAACAATACTGATACAAGATTATAGGCATTCCTTAAAGTTTTTATCTAAATCTGAAATACGTTATGTGGCTAAATGTATAGATATTCTTATTCCTCAGTTTGTCTGTTGATTTTTTTTTTGTCTCATGAATTTAAACGAGTTTTGAGTTACATAGAAGTTTGAAATCCGTAGAAGCGATTAGTAATTCTTGAGACATGTTTTACCAGACAAGTAGATTGAATCTGGTCATTTTTTTCCTTGGAACATAAGAATTGTGATGAAAGAAGGGTTAGAGAATCAATATATGTAAAGTAGCCTACTAAATTAAAAGAGTAATTAACTTATTGATTAAAATTTAGCAATAGATAGCACTTCTCTGAATCCTAAGATTAAAGAGAAAATTAGGTGAAGTGCAGCATGTTTTTAAATAATCTAGTCACATGAAACATTCTCACCAGGATTTTATTCTCTCTGTATTTTGAGAAAATGAGGAGGCAGGCAAAATATTTGCTTACTAAATTATTATTAGAGATGAGGTCTCCCTATGTTGCCCAGGCAGGGGCATGGTGATTATTCATGAGCACAATCATACCTCACTGTAATCTCAGACTCCTGACTCAGCCTCCCAGGTAGCGGGGATTACAGGTACATACCACCATGCCTGTCTCTACTTACTGAATTTTATAAAAATCCTGAAACAAGTAAGAAGAGTTTTGAAGAGTGGCCTTTTTACTTTCCTACATTACTTGCAAACTTTTTCCCATGACGTAGGGAAGGCCGCCTTTATATCCAGAAAGAAATCCCACATTATTGGATATTCTTTTGGTACTGCTTGGTTTCTCTCCTGGCACATATCTGTGCCCTTTTGGGAGATGTCTTCTTAGGTCATTTGCAGAGTAGAACTTTAGGGTCTTTGGGTTTCTTTCATGTCTTTGGGCTGATCATAAAGTATAGTATTAAACTTGTAGTAATGTACTTTTATCGTAAATTAATTTTTTATAACCTGTGCTAATTAATTTGAAAATAGGTATTGGATTTATCATTAAAGTACTTCATTTTTCCAGTTAACTTCTGGGATGGTTTTATGGTGAGTGGTAAGTAAAGCAGATAGTATTTGCTAGGTACCAAGCTTTGTAGCACATGAACTTTTGTAAACTCAAAGGATGGAAACGGTCAATCAATTTGAACTTGACTTGTATGTTTGAATAATACTGATTGTTTTGTTTTCCTTTGTCATGAAATGTATAGTTTAAAAATGTAGATTTTTACTTTTTGAATAGGTAATATATTCACATGGTTCAGAATTCAAAATACAGCAAAACCTAGCAATTCAGTCAAAAAATTAGTATGTAGGAAACAGTCTCCTCTTTATAGTGCTTCTGTCTGCCTACTGTAAACTATGACTCACATCTTTAAATGATGCCTTTAGATCTGTGTGATCTTTTTGTATCAGAACAAATGTTATGTTTTTGTCTTTTTAACTAATAAGTAGTGCATCTGTATTGACTTTTTTGAGACCCACATTTTGAAACAACTAATGATCCTTGTGAATCTAGATCTGTATTTTAATAATCACACGTGTAAGGATTCATATGTGTTAACCTTACTTTGATGCTCTTTGTGTTTATATTTTCTCAGTTTCTGTTTTCTTTGACTAAGGTGTAACCAGTTTAAAAATATTCTAGATAGGCTTCCCTATAATCATGAGGTACAGAGTTATTTCTTAATCATTTTTCCCTCAAAATCCATTTAGCAGGAATTGGTTTTTAAAGTACAGCTTCTCCAAAGCAACGTGGTATCTCTTGGGAGATGACTAGTTTGGGCTGGATTTTAATTTCCGCTAGTAATTTAGCTCCTTAAGAAAATTTATCCTCGATTTAAAAATTATCAAGGAATTTTCAAATACATTTTAAGTGGAGAGAATACTGTATGAATCCTTAGATGTGTGTTTCTTAAAATACAGATCCAGATTCACAGGGATCATAAGCTGTTTCAAAATTCAAGTCTCAAAGGAGTCAATTCAGATTCACTGCTTATTAGTTAAGGCAGTAATAAAACTTTTGGTCTGATATAAAAAGATCAAGATAAATTGTTAAATAAAAAAAAGTACAGAATAGTGCATATTGTACATCATCTTTTTAAAGAAACGGAAACTAAAATATATTCATTCTTGCTTATGTATGTTTAAAGTAACTTTGGAAGGATACAACAAGAAACCAATAAAAGTGGTTACCTGAGTTATTAGGAAGAGGGTTGGAAGGAAAGTTTGAACTTTTTACCTTTCTGAGGTTTATTTTTGTTTGTGTTGGCTGTTTGTTTATTTTTAGGAGACAGGGTCTTGCTCTGTTGCCTACGCTGGATTGCAGTGGCATGATCATAGCTCACTGAACCCTTGAAGTCTCAGGGTCAAGTGATCCTTATTCCTTAGCTTCCCAAGTAGCTGGAACCACAATGCCCAGCTTAATTTTTTATTTCTTGTAGTGATGAGGTTTCACTGTATTGCATAGGCTGATCTTGAACTGGTCTCAAGTGATCCTCCTTCCTCTGCCTCCCATAGTGCTGGGAGGCATGAGCTACCACATCTGGCCTTTTTAAAAAAAATATTTTTAGCTTTTTGAACCATGTGAGTACTGTATTAACAATGAATTTAAATTGCGTTTAAAAAATTTTGTATTAAAAATCGATTTAAAAAGAAAATATAAAATTTACAACTTGAAAATGTAGCTATTTTCCGAGGAAAACTTCTAGGGTTAGGTTGAAGGCCACAGAAGTTGTGGACTGAGAGGAATGAGAAATGTGCTTTAAAGACTGCCTTCTTCCTATCCTTGCTGCCAAGTGGCAGAGAGCTTATTTTGTTTTAACTGTTTATTTTATTTTTTTCTTTTTCTCCCCTCCTCTTTTTTTTCAAAGGCTGGTGGGATAGCAGGTGTTTCTGTTGACTTGATATTATTTCCTCTGGATACCATTAAAACCAGGCTGCAGAGTCCTCAAGGATTTCACAAGGCTGGTGGTTTTCATGGAATATATGCTGGTGTTCCTTCTGCTGCTATTGGATCCTTCCCTAATGGTAAAATATTATATTGCTATTCTTACTCCTGTAAAGCCAGGATAAAATGGAATTTTCAGAATGGTGTGTGGTCTTACCCCACATAGAATTCCTTGTGTGTTGAAGCTTATCTTCTGAATTTCCTTCTTTAACCTGTTATTATGTATTACTGTTTTTTTAAGTCAGGGTCTCACTTTGTCACCCAGGTGGGAGTGCAGTGGTGAGATGATAGCTCACTGCAACCTTGACTTCCTGGGCTCAAGCAACCCTCCAGCCTCAGCCCCCTAAGTAGCTGGGACTACAGGGGTGCACCACCATGCCTGGCTAATTTTTGTATTTTTTGTAGAGAATGGGTTTTGTCATGTTGCTTAGGCTGTTCTCAAACTCCTACGCTCAAGCAATCTGTCCACCTTGGGCTTCCTAAGTGCTGGGATTATAGGCATGAGCCACTGTGCTGGGCCTAACTCATTATTTTTGAGTCAGATAGTGTTATAGATTCCTATTTGTAATAGGGAAAAAAGGGCAATCTTTTAAAAATGGTTTTTGTTGTTCAAATTTCCAGCTAGAATCCTTAAAATGTTATTTTAATGTTGTGATTCCTCAGAACAATCATTCTCAACTTTACCTGCACATTAGAATCCATTGGGAAGCCTTAAAAAATACTGATATCCTGTGTCATCCTAGAATTTTAATTAGTCTAGGTTTTGCCTTGGTATCATAAGTTTTAATAACTTCCCAGGTGACTACAGTGTGAAGCCAAGTTTGATGATAGCTGCTTTGGAGATCTTAGAGAGCAGGTGAACCTAAGAGGCATTAAAGATTTGTGTCCTAATTCAGTTGCTCTTAGATGATGCAAGTGTTTCTCACTAATGCTCTCCTGGATACTCTCCTTCCAGCAACTTTTGTTTTGGTTCTGAAGTCATGTGACTTATGACTCTCTTATTCTTTAGTCAGTGTAATCTGTTTTGTTTAATCTGCTTCTTGGTATACTGTTTGCAGATACTTACTTTAATTGTTTACTGTTGGATGCCTCTAGTGGCATTCAAAAGTAAACTAAAGCAATAAAAAAATCACCACACATAAGACACACCCACAAAACCACAGCTCTAGAAGATTCTTAAATTCTGGGATTTGCTTTTGTTTTTTTGCGGGATAATTAATGAGAAATTTTTACTTTTTTTTTTTTTTTTTTAAGAGGTTTCACTATGTTGGCCAGACTGGTCTCGAACTCCTGACCTTGTGATTCGCCCACCTCGGCCTCCCAAAGAGCTGGGATTACAGGCATGAGCCACTGCGCCTGGCAAGAAATTTTTACCCTTAAGCTGACATTTAAGTGTTCAATCTGTGAGCATAACATTTATATAAAAATTTATAGTGCAAAGAGAAAAATAGTATTTTTTTTTTTTTCCTCCTGCTCTTCCCCATCCCCCAGCCATCATTAGACTGGCGAACTCTTTTGGTCATCCTTGACTTTTTGTATATGTTAATATTTGAGTAATTGTAACAAGTTGTTATTGATCATCAACTCCATGCCAGGCATAGTTTTAAGTGTGGGAGAGGGGCATGGGTTCCCAAATTTGTCTACTTTGAAATCGCCTAATTGCTGAGGAGCTTAAACAAATACAATTGACTTTGAGCAACGTGGAGGGCAGGGTTGCCAACCTCTCCTGTGCAGCTGAAAATCAGAATGTAATTTTTGGCTTCCCCAAAACTTTACTAATAGCCTGCTGCTGCGTTAATGATATTATAGTTGATTAACACATACTTTGTATGTGTGTTACATACTAACATATATTTATGTGTTATATGTTTTATTTTTTATTCTTATTGTTTTCTGAGACAGAGTCTTGCTGTGGCACCCAGGGAGTGCAGTGGCACGATCTCAGCTCGCTGCAACCTCCGCCTCCCAGATTCAAGTGATTCTCCTGCCTGAGCCTCCCAAATAGCTGCGATTACAGGCGCACACCACCACACTCGGCTAATTTTTGTATTTTTAGTAGAGACTGTTCTTCACCGTGTTATCCTGACCTCATGTGATATGCCTGCCTTGGCCTCCCAAAGTGCTGGGATTATAGGCATTATCCACTGTGCCTGGCAAATGTTTTATATACTGTATTCTTAAAATCAAGTAAGCTAGAGAAAAAAATGTTATTAAGAAAATAATAAGGAAGAGAAAACGTGTATTCACTAAGTGGAAATGGGTCATCAAAGTGTTTCATGTTGAGTAGGCTGAGGAGAAGGAAAAAGAGGAGTTAGTCTTTGTGTCTTAGGGGTGGCAGAGGCAGAAGAAGTAGAGGAGGTAGAAGGGGAGGCAGGAGAAGCAGGCCCACATGGTGTATCTTTATGGAAATAAATCATAATTTCCCTCTCACTTTTTTGCTGTTTCTTTTCTCTAAAAATGATTCTATGTGGTACCAATGCTTTCACCATTTGCTTTAGTTTCAGTGCCCATGTTGTAGAAGAGTCCTTGTCATAAAAGAAACCAAAAGCAGTCTTTAATAATCAGAACCCTTCTGCCAGGTTGTCTAATGTCATTTTCTTTTCTGGCACTCCTTCTATATTTTCCCCTCATCATTTGACACTGGTTTGGAAGCAGTCATCTCCACCAAGTTGTTTTCTGTTAAGTCTTCTGGTGTGGTGTCTGTTAGCTCTTGAATTTCTTTAAGATCTATATTTTGAAACCTTTCACCCCCAACCTTTTTTTTTTTTTCCCCACATCCACAATCTCTTTTATTATTTTCTTGATTGGCTCTGTCATGAATGCTATGAAGGATTTGCTTGCTTCTCTTCCTTACTAATAAATGTCCTTGTGACATTTTTCTTTTTCCAGAATAGGGCACTTTCATCTACATGAGAAACCTGTTCAGGCAGATTTCCTTTCTCCTCAGTGATTTACTTAATGGCAGCTGGGAACTTGATTACTGACTGATGAATGGCAGAAGCTGCTTCTCCTGTTACCTTGACATTTTTAAGCCAAATCTCTTTCTAAATTATCAAACCATCCCTGGCTGGCATTAAATCCTTCAGCTTTAGATCCTTTACCTTTCTTTTTTATCATGAAATTACTTTGCTTTTTCTCAAATCATTTTAGGGATAATAAATATGCCTTTATTATAGCAATTCTTTTCCCACATAAAAGCTGCGTTTTCAAAACAAGAAAAAAGTTACTTTGCAAAGCTGCAGAGCTGGGTTAATGAATTTCTTTTTTTCTCTTTCTTTTTTTTTTAATATACAATAAATTAAGCTGGATTCATTCAGGTTTCAGTCTGTAGTACCTAACAAGCAATTTTTCTTACAATGTCATGACTCCTTTTTGCTTCTTAGGAGCTTTCTTGTAATGTAATGACTTCCAGCATCACTAGTGGCACTTTGTGGGTCCTATGGCATTATTCAGAGCTTGTGATATGGCACTAACCACAACAAAAAATACATAAGAAGTGGGAGAGATCCTTTTGTACTACGATACGCAACTTATTGGGGGAGATGAACCACTCTTGGAGATAATTACTGTCACATGGCATTTTAAGTGGCCACTCAGCAACACCTGAACTCATTACAGCAAGAGGAGGTGGCTCAGAGTACAGTATATGCTACAGTTAATTTTATGCAGTTTTAATTTAACACTACACCTCTCTTTTTTTCTCCCTGAGACCAGATCTCACTCCATTGCCCAGACTGGAGTGCAGTGGCATGATCTTGGCTCACTGCAACCTCAACCTCCCAGCCTCACGTGATCCTCCCACCTCAGTCTCCCAAGTAGCTGGGACTACAGGTGTGGCTAACCACACTCAGCTAATTATTTATTTTTTTTTGTAGAGACAGGGTTTCTCCATGTTGCCTAAGCTGGTCTTGAACTCCTGAGCTCAAGCCTCAGCCTCCCAAAGTGCTGGATTACTGGTGTGGGCCACTGTGCCTGGCCCATCTTTACCTTTGTTTACATTTCTCTCAACTATGAATGATTTGATCTGTGGTTTGTGTTTGTAAGTTTTGATAAATTTTAGCTTTTTATAATATATTTTATGTTAGTAAATGGTAAAATAGGCTAGTATTGACATATATTTTATGTATTAATGAGACAGCCTTTTCTTAATTTTTTTTTTATATTTCTAGGCAATGTGGTTCATATATGTTTCTTCAAATTGTCATGAATCTCCAAAAAATTTGCCAATATATTTATTGTATATTGGAATATTTGTATAAGTGAATCTGTGCATTTAAACTCATGTTCAAGGATCACCTGTACTGGTCGTTGTCACCTAACCCCAGAGATTGTGACTTAATTGGTCTGAGATATGGCCTGGGCATTGGATGTTTTTTTTTTAAAAATCCTAAGATGATTCTTATATTTAGACAAGTTTGAGAACCTCTGAACTAGGGAATTGCAAAGAAGCATGTCACTAAATCTCTATCTTTTGGTCACCATTTTTTTATGGTGTCTCCTTCATTTACATTCATTGTTCTAAAGATCTTTTTCTCTTACATATTGCACATAAAGATTATTGTGGGGAGGTGTATTACTAGCTATAGTGTATACGTTACATGATGTCGTCATTAAGATCACAGGTTTTACATTCTTAGGAATTTACATTTAAAATGTGGTTTTGAATTTTTTTTTTTTTTTTTTTTTTTTTTTTTTTTTCCATCCACCAAACTTCAGTGAATGGGAGATGCTAGGGAAAAATCAAAGTACCAGGGTTTCAAAACTAGTGTTGTTTTTGCTGCAAATTTTGATTGAATTGGACTTTTTTTGTATGGTGTCTTTTTTTCTTTTGCTATTGGCTAAGGTTCTGAGTACAGAGCTTCACTATAGTTGATCATCAGTGGCTGCGGATGTTTCTGTAAACCTGTGCTGCAGGAGTGAGGGGTTGGGGTTGAGCTAGAGGGTACCAAAGATGGAAAGAGGTGAAGAGAAGACTTATCTGTTACTCCCTATTTCAAAGGGAATGTAGAGAAACCATATATATATGTTATATATATAAGTTTTTTTTCTTTTTGAGCTGGAGGAAACTATAGTTATCAGGTAGCCCAGCCCCTCTTCTTTGCTTTAGCTTGTTCAGTGCCCCCACTTGGAACCTGACTGTACTGACATTTAGTAGAGGCCTTCTTGGATGCCCCTGGGGGGACATGGAGGGAGGTTAGGAACCTGGAACTTACATTCTTAAGGGGATCGTGTATGTCACAAAAGAAGCCATAAAGTTAGACGAGGTTGAGGTGGTTAGTCATGAAATGGAGGAAGTTTTACCACTATCTTTCTCCCTTTCCTGGGGGTTAGGAGGGTAGGAGGTACAGTGGCAGAACTTAACAGCTGAATGCAATTGGAGGTATTATAGCTGCACATTTAGTGAGTGGGCATAAGTGGAAAAATCATATGAAGAAACACAAATGGGAACAGGCTGTGTTAACCACGTAAAACTGCCTGAACTGGTTATTATTCATTCATGGATGGCGTGCCTCTTCATTTGATCTAGTGCACATTCGTTAGCATGTGAAGATCCTTTACAAGATTGTTGACTTTGGAGAACTGATTTTCCCTGTCAAGCTGTTTTCCTCAGTGTTTCAGACTTTGTGACATGTTGAAATGTCCTTCAGAAGATTAATTTGTCATTCCTTTATCTCTTGTGCCTTATCTTTTATCCAGCTGATAGACATATATTGATTAACAGTACATAGAAAGTTTAAAGCTCTCAGGGGCAGCTACGATTAGTTCATGGTAATGGGGTAGCTTTTTAGAGATTTTGATTTCCAGCTTTAATTAAATGGTTGATTGTTTTCTTGATGTAAAGGTGAATTTATGCAGTAAAAAAATAGCCATGGTTGTTTTGTGTAACCAGCAGTAAAACGTTGTAGAATAGACATTTTCTTTAGGTTAAATTTTATGTTTGTAATTTTAACCTGTGTATTTATCAATGTAGTTTGATTGTTTTATGGCCACACATATTGTGGATCATAGAAATTCTTACCCTTTTCTAACGTTGACTTTAAAAATGTTTAAGTATTTTTTCAGTATAATTGGTAAGTGCTGGATTAGCTCGTATGCTCCCTCAGGGTAGGCATTATATTTTCTGCATTTTTAAAGTCTAGGATGAGGCATATAACATGGTCTCAGTAAATTCTGAAAGAGTGGGAGTAGGAAAAAAAGATACGTGCTTATCACCTTTTCTATTATCTCATAATTTAGTAATTATTGTCATACCTTTTGAGAAACCTGTTTCTTAACAGTTTGAATATGTGTTTAAACTTTGTGAAAGACTGGCTTGTTTTAAATTTCAGCTGCTGCATTTTTTATCACCTATGAATATGTGAAGTGGTTTTTGCATACTGATTCATCTTCATATTTGACACCTATGAAACATATGTTGGCTGCCTCTGCTGGAGAAGTGGTAAGTAAGAAATACTCACAAATATATACCATGTGTATAAAATACTTCAGAAATGCAAGTCATGCATATGTTTTCATCACATATTTTATTTTTTTAAATTATTTTTTAATTATGAAAGTCATAAATACCAACAAATGTAAATGGATTAAATATGACAGTTAAAAGATAGAGCCTGACAACTAAAAGAGCCTTAGATAGGATGGAAGCTATGTATATTTACAGAGATGGATCTAAAACATAATTATATGGAAAAAAGAAAAAGAGGTAGAAGAAGGTATCCAATGCGAATTGTGACAGCTTTGTATTGTGTCAGCACAACTGAGCTGAAACTGCTTTTCCCAGAATTTCCTTCTGAAGTAGTTTCAGTTTGGATCAGCCACAAGAGAAATCTGCATGTTCTTTGTAAGGTAGAAGCGAAGCAGCTGCTGGATTTATGCTCAGAAGGTTGGCACATGGTCAGGCACTGTTGCAGCTCACACGCCCTGTCACTGACTTTGCTGTATTACCGTGTTGGCATTTGGCTTCCAGCTCCTCCAGCTCCCACTGGTTCTTCTCCATCAGCTTCCCCAAATTGTAGGTCAGATTTGTGGGCTCTGTAATGCCGGGCGCCAGCTTATACTGCAAGTTCTCTCACGGGCTGGTGAGAAATAAATGTGTGTTCTAGTCTGTCCTTGTTCTTCCCCCACTTCACATCCATCTTTCCTTCCCTGTTGCCTGCCCATTGATTTCTTAGAAACAGCAGGAGCAACCATATCACTTTTTTTTTTTTTGAGACGGAGTTTTGCTCTTATTGCCCCGGCTGGAGTGTAGTGGCGCTATCTCAGCTCACCGCAACTTCCGCCTCCTAGTTCAAGTGATTCTCCTGCCTCAGCCTCCCAAGTAGCTGGGATTACAGGCATGTGCCACTACGCTTGGCTAATTTTGTACTTTTAGTAGAGATAGGGTTTCTCTATGTGGGTCAGGCTGGTCTCGAACTCCCGACCTTAGATGATCTGCCCACCTTGCCTCCCAAAGTGCTGGGATTACAGGCATGAGCCACCGTGCCTGGCCGCCTGCCTGTTGATTTCTATCCAAACACTAGATGCAAAGGCAACAGCCTTACACAAACTGCTTAATTAGCGCCCATAATTGCTGCTCAGATCTCTATAATCCTTATCCTTATCACTAACAGTGATGAAACCTTAACTGATAGAGAAATACTAATTGAAAAAGAGTTTGTGGCATAATATTAGTATTAGGAAAAAATACCCTAGGCAAAAAACAGAGACCAGTGCATAATGATACAGGAGCAGTTATTTCAGGAGCTGTAATAAGCCTGAATCTGTGCTGAATAACATAGTCTCAAAACATACAAAGCAAAAACTGGCAGAATTTTAAAGAGAAATGAACAAAACTATTGTCTTAGTTGGAGATAGTCACATCTCTGTCTCAGAGCATTAAGAACAGGTGGGCATAAATTTATTAAGGCCATAAAAGATTTGAACAACACATGGCAAGATTGGCCTGTTATATGTAAAACTTTGCACCCAACAAGATCAACTTTTTTCCAGCATAATCAGAACTTTAATAAAAATATTAATAGCCCACAGGGCAAGTATTATTGAATACTGCAGAGACAATGTCCTTATAGATCATTTGTTGTGTCATTATAATGAAGTAAAATTGGAAACAATGACAAACTCATTCCTTTGTAAATAATTTGAGTTGAAGTAGAACACAATACTGTAAGTGGTAAGTATAAGTGATACTTCTGTTTTTATTTTTGAAGAGATGGGGGTCTCATGTTTTCCAGACTGGTCTCGAACTCCCAGCCTCATGTAGTCCTCCTGACTCAGCCTCTCCAAAGTACTGGTATCACAGGCATGAGCCATGTGCCTGGTCGAAAGTGACATTTTTAAACCGAAATCATAAACACGGTTATGTTTTTTTTTTTTTTTAAACACCTCAAAACTAATGCAGAAGAGAAATGTGTAATACAAATAAAAGTTTCTTCATAGGCCGGGCGCGGTGGCTCAAGCCTGTAATCCTAGCACTTTGGGAGACCGAGGCGGGCGGATCCCGAGGTCAAGAGATCGAGACCGTCCTGGTCAACATGGTGAAACCCCGTCTCTACTAAAACTACAAAAAATTAGCTGGGCATGGTGGTGCGTGCCTGTAATCCCAGCTACTCAGGAGGCTGAGGCAGGAGAATTGCCTGAACCCAGGAGGCGGAGGTTGCGGTGAGCCGAGATCGCGCCATTGCACTCCAGCCTGGGTAACAAGAGTGAAACTCCGTCTCAATAGAAAAAAATAAAAAAAAAAAAAGTTTCTTCATAACCCTCATTAACTTACCTTGCTCCCTACCCTTTCTGCACAATACTGAGGGACAGCCTTGTCTGTTGCTTATTCGTGTTATTTTCAAATCACACAGCCTGGTAGTCATGCAGTCCTGTTAACCCTCCAGCCCTGTGATGGGCATAATAGAAATGGACAACACAATGAAGAAGTCGTCTTAGGTTTGTAAGCCTTTTAGCAAATCACATTTTTCTTTGAAATTAGACCAGTAACGGCATATGTTTACATAGAAAACTTGGGAAATGAATTAGCCTTTATAACATTTACATTAAAAAATTGTGTTATATTGTGAATTGTTTTTTGATGCACTTTTTTTCTTTAGAAAGTTTGAACGAGAATCTACAAACTGCTTAGTAAGCTAATATTCCTTGCTTAAGAATATAGTGAATTGGGGATATGGAAAAAAGAGGTAACAGAAAAGTAAAAATTAACATAAAGGAGATAATTTTTTTTAAACCAGTTTTGTTGAGACATAGTTGACATAGCATACAATTCACCCATTTAAAGTGTACAACTCAGTGGTTTACACCATAGTCACGGAGTTGTACAACCATTGCCAAACTCCATTTTAAAACATTCATCTTTCCCCTAAGGAAGCCCTTACCCATTGCAGTCACAATCCCCATTTCACCCCAACCCTCCCCACCCCTAAGCAACCACTTGTCTACTTTCTGTCTCTATGAATTTGCCTTATATGGACATTTCATATAAATGGAATCCTACAATATGTGGCCTTTTGTTACTGCCTTTTTTCAGCTAGTGTAGTGTTTTCCAGGTTCATCCGTGTGGTAGCATCTGTCATTACTTCATTTCTTTTTAAAATTATTTTTGATGATTACGTTCTGACATTGCAGTCTCATTACTTGCAGTTAGTTTGGAGTATATATACTTATGTTTGTTGATACGTTGTTGAGAGCAACCAGCAAAAAAAGAACCTGGCCACTTCATTTCACATGGGCTATCTTGCTTGAAAGCTAGTTGGCCATGTTGAAGGGCAGGCTTTCTTCAGTTTATAAACTTCTGTCCAAGAAAATAGAAAGTGATCTAATAGGTAGGGCAAATAGTAGCTATTAGATTTCTCATGTTAATCCTGTATCTTCTATTGGTAGAAAGTTCTGTTCTACAAATACTCTAATTCTAAAAAATTCTAATGCTCCTAGTATTTGTAACTAATATTTAAAAAAATTGGAGCCTTGGAAAAAGGCTCAAAGTTTTTAAGATTTCCAAATATGATGTCATAACATTTGGCATGTGGACTGTTAGGCATGGGAGGTGGGGTAGGTGGACTTTAGATTAGGAAACAAGTATTCATGAGACTGGGGTTAAAACAGATAAGGACATTCTTATTGGATTGTGTCTCTTGGGGGTTCCTTGGTCCCTGAATTGGTAAGGCCAAAATATCAAACACCTATTTATAGTTTTCATGGAGCTGGGCTCTTGGTAATTTGCCCATGTTGGCTTCAGACTCCTGGCCTCAAGGTATCCTCAGTAGCTGAGACGGCAGGTGTGCGCCACCAGGTGTGGCAATTCCTAGAGAATCTTAAGAGGACAATTGTGAATGTAGATTGAGGACTTTCCACATGAAGTAGTTCTTGATGTTCACACACACACATATTTACAAATGAATGAATGGTGGGGTCTCACTGTCACTCAGGCTAGAGTGCAATGGTGTGATCATAGCTCCTGTAGCCTCTAACTTCTGGGCTCACGTGATCCTCTCACTTTAGCCTCCTGGGTAGCTGGGACTATGGCTACCTGGACATGGTGGTGTTGCAAATACCACCATGCTTGGCTACTTTTTTAAAACAATTTTGTAAAGATGGGGTCTCACTGTGTTGCCCAGGTTACTCTTGAACACCTGCCCTCAAGCAGTTCTTCCACTGTGACCTTCCAAAACACTGTAATTCAGTCGTGAGCCACTGCACCCTGCCAATATTGACCTTACGTGGACTTTAAATTCAGTTACGGTTTGGTATGCTGAGAAGTTTGCCAAATTTGTGAAGTTTGTGGATATATTGGTTCTGATGCTCTAATAATTTTTGAACTAAAAAAAAAAAAAAAAAAAAACTTCCTGAAGCCTTTCAGTTTCAGTTTTCTTAGTAAATGCTTGTATACATATTACTCTTTTCTTGTTTTAGTAACCTGTTTCAGTCTCATAGAAGATAAACTTTTGATTTCAGATTCATGCAAGTATGGTTGCTAAGATTAAGATAAACCAACAGGTGAATTTAAGGAGATACATTTTCATTTGTAAAATAAAAAGAAATAGGAATAGAAAACATTTATAGCTGTCAGTGATCACAAAGGTATAGTAACCTAGAGATAAGAAATACTTTAGTGCAGTCATTATTCTGTAACACATTTGCTTTGATATATGGTAATTATGTTACAGATTCCTTAGAAACAATAACATATTTTATTGGTATTGAATATAGCCACTGTTACTTTCTTGAAGCAACTATGAAGGAAACTTAGAAACAAAAGAACACTGCCAAAATAATAACCATTCCCTGTAGCAACAGCTTGATTAAAACTTAATGATCAATCAATAAAACTATAATTACAACCTTCTACCTTATGTTTGCAATTTGGAATACAGTCAAATCAATCGAATAAGATTTAACATGTAACAATAGCAAGAAGGGTCCCACTTGTGCCATTTTTAT